TTGTGCTACTTATTACAGTGATAAAACGATTTAACTTACAATAATTTTATAAATATTAACAGTAAAAAACTGAAATCTCAACACAATACTAATATAACATAAAGACATGTAAGACAGAGTCGTTGCGAGAAAATTAGTTTCATTCCTTCTATTTTCTGACTTCTGCGGCGTAAATCCTCGCGCGGCGTATATACCGGGTTTACCCTATTTTACTCGTTTGAAAAAAAAAGAACGGAAGCGTATGGACGTTTGAAAGTTAAGAGTGAATTGGTACCAGGATAAAGATTTTTGCCAGTATTTCTCTTGAAAAATGGCAAAAACATTTAGACTCCTTAATGGACGATCTTAAGATTGGATACGTAAGAGCTAACAATAATGAACTCACTCACATGTTTGAGGCCACATAATAATATTACAATTGTATCGTTTCAACGATTTGATAAACGAAGATGGAATTACATTTGAAATTGAAGATGAGCTTAACAATGAGGATGATAATTAGCGTAAATTCTCCGAATGTACAGCAATGAGATGTTAAATATGTTAAACTTGAAAATTGCAATTTATTTTAATTTATCCGAGTTGATGCTTTAGAGTTCGGAGATGCATTCATGTCTCTATTATTTTTTAATTCAAAAAAATTGAAATACGAAATGAGCTATTCACCATGTTAAATTCGGGCGTATTCGTGTTCGTATAATATTATTTTTGGATTCAAATGGATTCGAAAAATCAGAAACGCCAATTAAGAAATGTCGAAAATGAATTTATTTCAATCCATTTCAAATCATTTTTGTTTGCTGCATGGGCTCGACGCCAACATTAAATATTACAATATTACGTGCAAAAAGATATTGATTCTAGCTTGTATTTTTAGAAACCTACAGCTACAACTACAGCCACGATAGATCGCATCAGTTTTTCGTCGAGTCCATCGTGCATCCTGATGACTTCATTGCTGTGCAATGCTCCAATTGGATGGACTTCCAACTTGATAAATGCGGCGATAATAATTCCAGCACCGTCGTTATGGGCGAATTTATCAACACTGACGCTCAAGGTATTTTTTATCTACAAACCAACGCACAGCCACCATGTGGAAAGGATAGAAAATAAGCAAGATAAAATAAACAGTGATGGAAATAGATTTCTATGTACATGCCTACACTTATGACATTTATACATATATATGTATCTATTTCATTATAATTAGCGATATA